TTTGACTTTTGGAGAAGCTTTGATAGCAGTCGGATAGAGTAAACAAAGTGCAATGCAATGCAATTTTTTGGCAATTTCAGCTGGCTTCTCATTATTTTTTGAGATAACTTTTTCAGAAGTCTTCACTTTTTCAGAGTCACAAAACACACAAACGCTCTGATCAACAAATTTTCGGTTTTCGAAACTTTCAAAAGTCGTTTATGATTGTACACTATTTTTACAAAATAACTGAGCGTTTACTGCTTCGAAATATAAGATTTCACGGGCACATCGTGAGGCGGGTTCAAAATCAAGATTTATGGAAATTTTGTTGCCAAAGACCCCACAAACTAAGAAGAAAAAGCACTTATCAGAAAGATGAGAAAAAGCTGCATCGAATGACACCTTAGTTGTGCGCCGTTTTATGTTCTATGGCTTCTGGCATCCCCAAAAGTGGAATTTGATAGCATCAGAAAAATAATTCTAAAAATGTTTTGAGGCTAGCTATAGATGCCGAAAAATTGCATGATATTGCACTTTGTTTACTCTATCCGACTGCTATCAAAGCTTTTCCAAAAGTCAAAAAAGAAGATAGTGAAAAATTGCCAAATTTGGACATGGTAAAAACCATGGGTCCGAAATTTCGGCCATTATCTCACTGATCACAAGAGCGAGCGGCACAAGAATATAATAGTTGAAAAGAGCAAGAAAAGTTGCGTCGGACAGTGCCTGAAGCGTTTCCCTTTCTTCGTTCCACGTGTTTTTATGATTATATATATATTAGGTTGGTGCAAAAGTTCTTTCCCCCCATTTTCAAAAATTCATAACTTCTGATTTTTTCAACCAATTTGGCTGCATCTATTTCTATATGAAAGAGTAACTCATGCTCTTCATAATGACATCTTAACTGCTTGCTAATGATCATTTGTTGCATAGATAGGAGCGATAGAAGAAAATTAGTCAAAATTTGAATTTTCTGTGTAGGGTCATAAAAAATCGGAAACTTGCAAGAAAAATCGGAGCAGTCAGTATTGTAGGTTCTTTTACCAGCTCTTTCTAATGGTGCAAACTTTGCGTCGATTGAGCGTCTCTATCAAAAGTTACAATTTCCCTGAAAAATGCCAAAATAGATCAAAATCGCCCTTTTGTATTGCTTGCTCGAAATTCATAACTTTTGATAGAGACGCTCAATCAGCGCAAACTTTGCACCGTTAGAAAGAGCTGGTGAAAGAACCTACAATGCTGACTGCTCCGATTTTTGTTGCAGGTTTCCGATTTTTTATGACCCTACACGAAAAATTCAAATTTTGAGTGATTTTAGTTTTGAGCTTCTATCTCCTTCATTTGTAAACATTAAGGAACAGTTCAGGTACAGATGCAAAGAGCATGAGTTTCTCTCTTAAAGGCAGTGTCCGGGCAAAATGGGGGTTCTGAGATTTCTCTGCCATGTGAAAGTAGCCCCCCTGAGACACAACATCGCGCAACTGCGAGCATAAAACGTTCGACCTAAAGCAAGAAAAACGATTGCAAATTGGGGAAACTTACGCCTTGGGGCGGGGTCCTCCGAGCTGTTTGAATTCCTGCCAGACGGCAGAGTACGTATGCCGCCACAGTTAAAAACCGTGCGCTCTTTGCAACCTCTGCGTCTTAGCCTGGCGGGGACCCCCAAATTTCGAAATGTGAGGACTTGGAAAATGCATGTTCTCGCCGTTTTCGCGCCTTCTGATGTGGATTTTCGGATTCAGCGTTGCGGATAACCCCAAATAAGTTGATTTTTTAGAAGTCGAGTTTCTGCCCGGACACTGCCTTTAAGCAAAATTTAGATCTTGCAGATTCGTTGAGAATTCAGTAAGTTATGAATTTTTGAATTTGGGCGGAAAGAACTTTCGCACCAACCTAATATATATATATATATATATATATATATATATATATATATACATATATATATATAAAACTCAATGTCTGTGAGGATGTTCGTTTAATTGTTCGTTCGTTATAGAAACGCCAGCCATTGAACCGATTTAGCTAAAACTTCGCACACATATGTTTTCGACGCCGGCGGTGGTTTACGGCTACTTTTTGCGGCGATTCGCAGGGTCCTTCTATTGATTTATTGATTTGTTTACCTAAATCTGGGAAAATGAAAGTTTGATGTGCTTTAACCAATCATTTTCCAGTAAACATGTAAGCAGGGGTAGAAAGTTCATTCTAACCACTGGTCGGCAGGATGCAGTGGGTTCGTCTCAAAGCGCTTTTCGCGCATTTTAGAAGTTAGAAAGTATAAGTATGATCGACTTCCAGATTCGTGTGGAGGTTGCTGCGGACTTCACTGATTTTAAGGATAAGCTCAACGAGAGAGCACGAAATACAATGCTAACGTGGAGGTTTGACAAGTTTATCCCGAAAATCAGGGAAGTGCGCAACCCCTCCCCCCCCCCTCTACACGAATTTGGGAACCGATGACATTCCGGTGGGTAAGGGAACGAACTCCGCCAGTTTGAACCCG